GGCGTGAGACGGGCGCGCGGCTCCGGGACCCCCGCCCCCGCGCCCCCCACCTGCTGCATTTGGGGACGGGTCTTTGGAGAGCTGGCTGCCTCAAAACGAGGCCCTGGGGTGGCCCTAACCCCATGGGATTGGTGGCCTCAGAGGCAGAGAGATTTGGGGACACAGGCGCCAGCGGCGCAGCCAGAAAACGGCGCTCGGGGTCGCAGGAGACGCGGCCCTGACAGCCAGGGGGAAACCGGGCCTGCGACACCTCGACCTTGGACTTGTAACCCCCAGACCAGCAAGAAGGTAAGTTCTGCTGTTTCGGCCGGATGTCTGGCTGTTCGTAAAGGGCTGGCCGATGACAGAGGACTGGCCCTTCCTGCGACAGCGGCTCTGTCTCTTGGCCTTTTGAAGCGGAGCAGAGGCTGTTCCTTGGAGGGGTCGGGAACCCCCACTGTACCCCCGCCCAGCGGGGTCTGCTGCCTGCCGCTGTCCTGCAGGCTGTCTGTCTGGCGCGGCCCCCGCTGACCGTGCTGCGTCCGTCCCTCCCTGGCGTCTTAAGAGCAGCGAGTCCCGAGAGGCGCCCTCTGCTGTTTCCTAAACGCGTTTGCCCGCAGACCGTTTCGTTGTTGTTCATCACCTAATGGCCTATACATCTAATGTTCTATGGAACAGACTTTGAAAAATGGAGTCCTAGACTGACTTCATCTTGACCTCTTTCTTTTTTTAAGCAATATAAGGCCAGTAGACACAAATCATCTAGCAGGAGCCTAAAATTAAGCGTGGCCAATTAAGAGATCCCAATTCACTGCTGTTTCTGTCAAAAATCAGACCCCAAGTTCGAAACAGGGCAGGTAAGCTCAGTCTTCCCAACACGGTTAACTCGGCCATTGAATTGCTGAAAAACTCTTAGGTAGGGCGGGCGGCAAACCGCCTTCTCATCTCGACAAAGCTAGTAACGGGGTAGCGGAGCGCCCTCTACTGTAACCCAGGGGTCACACCACAAAGCTTCCATCCGGTCTCTTCCAGCCCCATTTGTAAAGCCACCTTCTAGGCCCGTCTACAGAGAGGCGCCATCCTAAACAGAACTGTCTGGTAGACACTGAAACATTTCATCTTTCTTTGTACTTTCTCAGAGCCCATCAGTAAGGCTTCCTATGGCCTTACTGCTACTCTGCAAGATCGAGTTGAAAACTGCAGGTGTTAACTCTGCAGCAATACGTGGGAAACCCCTGGGGAGCACAGGTAGATGGACCAGTGGGGGACTGCACAGCCCGTGGACAGTCTGTGAGGGAGGGCGGATGCAGTCACACATACTTTACGACCGAAGGCTGCACCGCAGAGGGACAGCGAAGCTGGCAAGTAATTTGCATTCCCCAGCAAATCTCTCCATCGGAAATGCTGGCAGTGCAAATGGGATCACACGTTTTTGCGATTTTCTCCTATTTCTTGTGGTTTTGTTTCTCGGAGTCTCAATTTCTACGCTTAGTAACTACGTTGGATGGGTCACGACCTGCCCCTATGCTTTTGCCGAAGCTGTTATGTCTTTTTCTTTCACGTTAGCTAGAAATATCTCATCCACAAAAAGGACATGGAGCGTGTAGACGCTCCATCACTCAGGTACGAAAGCCTTCTCTCAGCCCTCCCTTCAAGCTCAGCCTGGCCTCCGGTGCAGCAGCTCTGGACAGCAAGGCGGTGTGGACCGATCCCTGCAGACAGTCCGATTCAACTTGGACAGAGACTAAATGCTCCTCTTTCCC